CCAATCTTCAAACTCTTGAAGAAAGATTAGGTAGTCAGATGGAATGATGAATGTCAAGCTGCCTTCGACAAAATCAAAGAATATCTACAAGAACCTCATATTCTCATGCCTCAAGTTGAAGGAAGACCCTTGATCATGTACTTGACAGTACTAGAGAACTCTATGGGGGGTGTTTTGGGCCAACATGACGAGTTTGGTCGAAAAGAGCTTGCTATTTATTACCTGAGCAAAAAGTTTACCAACTGCGAAACCAGATATTCACTGCTTGAGAAAACATGATGCGCTTTGGCATGGGCTGCTCACTGGCTAAGACAGTATATGTTGACTCATACCACTCTATTGATTTCTAAGATGGACCTAATCAAGTACATCTTCGAGAAACCTGCTCTTTCCGGACGGATAACCAGGTGGCAAATGATCTTGACTGAGTACGACATTCATTACACAATATAAAAAACCATCAAAGTAAGTGTACTAGTAAATCATTTGGCCCATCAAGCTATTGATGACTATCAGTCCATGAACTTCGACTTCCCGGATGAGAACATCATGCTGGTGACCGATTACGCAAAACCTGGACCGTATGACGGACCTGAACAAGGATCCCGATGGACTATGATCTTCGATGGGGCTTCCAACACCTTGGGTAACGGAATTGGTGATGTGATCATCACCCCTGAAGGTTGCCACACTCCTTTCACCGCCAGACTATGCTTTGATTTCACGAACAATATGGTCGAGTATGAAGCGTGCATTTTGGGTCTGAAGGCTGCCATTGACTTGAGGATCAAGCATTTGAATGTGTATGGGGATTCCGCTCTAGTGATCAGCCAAGTAAAAGGAGATTGGTATTCTGAAACATAGGTTTTTGTTCATTCTGAAACATTAAAAATGGTATTCTGTCTAGAATGAATTTTTCCTTAAGTATCTGTTTTTACTCCTTGTTGAGAAAAATGTGATTTTGACTATGTGAAAATATTTTATTATTTATTTCTTTCATGATACTTTTACTAGTTAGAAGATGCCTTGATCAGAAATATCTCAAGTCAGAAACATTTGATTTTCTTGACTCTGAGAACATCAACTTGTGTATTTTCAAACGAATGGCTATCTATACATCATTTGAATAACACCTTGAGCAGTGGGAAATATTTCTTGAGATTAGATAAAATCTTCACGTTTTACTCATATCAGTTTTTATTTAAGGAACTGTTGAGAACATCTTTTGTTGAAAATAAATTTTGTTAACACGACCTATTTATTCTCATGTTTCTTTTGTCTTCTTGTAAATGATGGTTGTCCTTTATTCTCTCTAGTTTCTAGCTCAGACATTAACTATTTTGAGTGTCTCGGGTTTGATTTATTTTTAAAGAAAATCAATTCTCTTGTCAGCCACAACTCTTCTTCCCCTATTTATATTATTCATGTTTCATCTCACTCTTCATTCTTCATTGTGTCATTATTACAAAAATCTTCTCACAAATTTGTTTTCTTCATGTCTTCAAAAATCTTTTATGGAAATGAAGATCTCTTAGAAGTCATTCATGAAGTTCGTCCAAACTTTTGTAGACTAAGAGTTACAGGTTTCGACATATCTTTGAGCATACCAACTCAGGGATGGTTTGGGTACTTTACAATGCTAGATGGACCAATTTATCCTAATCTGGTCAAAGCTTTTTGGATGTTTGCTTCTGTGTGTGATCATGGTAGATCCATCTATTCAAATGTATTTGGATTCCCTATTTTCATCACTACTTCCTCCATTGCTGAGGTTATACGCTGCGTCGAAATTGGGGGTCTCAACGTGGAACATTTCAGTATCAAGTATAATTTCATGGAGAAGCTCATCTCTATCCATGATGTGTCGTCCAAATATGATCCCACAAATCTAACAAAGCTTATTCCCTTTGCTAGATTCTGGTTTCACCTTCTTCAAACCAACTTTTGACCATGAGGAGAAAACCATAACTTTATGTCTGACGTTGACAGACTCTTCATCTACTTTTTGCTCTCTGAGATTAAGGTCAACTTGCCCCAAACTATCTTCAATTATTTGAAGGAGTCTGTTGTTGTCTCCAGAAATAGGCATAAGTCCTTCATACCTTTTGGAAGAGTTATGTCTGATCTTTTTTACTAGGCAGATATGATCCATTTTGTTCGGTTGGTTGGACCAGAAAATGCTCTTGAAGAAAGAATATGTAAAGTCTTTAGAGCATAAGTTGTTTCGATGTTTGTTGACTTGCTGTTTTCCTTCTTTTGTTTTCTGTGTCTTGCATGTACTCTTCTCAAACATCAATGAAAGTTTATGTGTTTTTAACTTATCTGTCTTGTTTATGGTATTAGAGAAAGTGTGCTAAATATTTAAAACTCAATTGATGTCTCTAAATTATTTTTAAGAAATATTTTTTATTATGACAAAAAAGGGGAGAAAAATAGTGATGATTTTGATACATATCTAATTCTCTAAATCTCATTGCTTACATGACATTCTAACAAATTATATATGCAAGAAATTTAGAATGTGTTTCAGGAACACGCTGAAAACTGTGAATGGATCAAGTCTTAATAAAGAACTTCTAATGCTTCAGAAGCTTCTGATAAACCAAGCTTTGATAAGTATACTTTCTGATCAAATCAGACTCTGACAAGTTAACAATGCTCAGATATCCCTTAGTCTCTAAATTGTTATAAATATTAGACTCACGGGGAGATTGTTTATCTCGAGGGGGGTTCTAAACTAACTCTGATATTTTTTATGATACATTGTAAAATTGTTCCATCAAAATACATGGTTTTGTCATCATCAAAAAGGAGGAGATTGTTAGAACAAGATTTGGTTCTGCATATAATCTCTAGTTTTGATGATAACAATACATATATTTTATATGTAACAATTTTGTTCTCTCATGTTTTCTTAGTGTGCAGATGTAAAAATGTATCTGATTCTGGATAGTTTTCTGGAAATAGCATCAGAATCATTTCTGGCACGCCTTAGAAGAACTATTGCATCCGCTTCTAAAGAAATACCAGTAATTTTGATGAATGTTGAATGTTTGCTAGAAAATGATCCCCGTGTGCTTCTCAGATAAACTTTTGCTTCCAGCTCAGAAATCAATGTGTGCTTCTCATATAAGCTTTTTCTTCTGGCTCAGAGTCAAGATTTGTTTCTCATATGAGATTTTGCTTCCAAATCAGAAGACAAGGTTCTAACTCTGAAGACTTTGATACTCTTAAAACTCCCATACAACGTGATGTCTTCTGGACTAATCATCTGTTCACATCAGAAGTATTCCATCAGAAGACAAGAACAAGAGTGTGATCTCTTCTACACTCTTCATACTTCAGATCAGAAGTATTTCATCAGAAGATAAGATCAAGAAACTTGCACCAGAAGAAATAGTACAACAATACTATAACTCATTCTACTATGGTGAAGAATGCATTATACGACCAAATGATAATGTCTCCCAGGATCTCATACTACTGTTAAGGCAGTTGTCACGATAGTGACATTTTGTATTATCCAACGATCTACTTTTTGGGGATATATAAAGGGATCAATATTCCATTGGAAAAAATAGAACTTTGAGGAACTATCAAGAACTTGAAAAAGAAGAATCAAGGAAGTTGAACCAACACCATTTGAAAAGAAGAAGTTACTGTGCAAAAGATATTTACGTGAGAAATATTCTTCACAGAGAAAAATCAAAATACAAAGAGTTGTTGCTCATTTTTGTGTTAACATTTATTCTCAATCTAAACACAAATAGTTGTTGCTCAATTTTGTGTAAACATTGGTTCTTCATTTTAGTGTTAAATATGCTTTTCTTGTTTTCCTCAAGTGATGGTATGTATACTTGAGAGGATTAAGGTATTTTTCTAAACTCTTAGACATTTGTTTGTAATCTTTCAAGATTATTGGATGAAGTCCTTTTTGAAGGCGAAATCACCTTAGCAAGTGGACAAAAGTAACCTTGTTTAAGGTGAACTTGTATAAACTGATTGTGTCACTTTTCTTTCTTAGCTTGTCTATCTTAATTGTTTGTATGAAACATTTCTAAAGAAAAAAAATTTGAAAACCCATTCAAATTCCCCCTTGTATTTTTTTCAACCTTAAATATCAACTGCCGAGATCAATTTGACGACTGACCACATTCCACATCGTGCCACTTACATTCAGTTACCAATTGTTTCTCTACCAATGAGACTAAGGATTTAAGTGTTATATCCGCAATCCGATCAACTCTAATTCTACCACGAAATATTAATAAACAAAATTTTCCAAACAAACAAACCACTTTTTATTCTTTTCTTACCAATGAGACTAAGTATTTAAATGTTTCAATGTTGTACCTCCGATTTCGTATTGATTTACGCCTATATTTTACAACCAATAGAAAATTTACTTAACTAATTGACATATATCGAAGGTGAAGAAGATCATTTACAATTTACAACTAAAATTTCAAAATTTAATCATGGTTATAAAATCAAAATACCATTTGGTGGGTGGAATGTGAAAGAAGTGGTAGTAATTAACAATAGAAAAAGAAAGTAAAATGTCAAGAAAATAATGCCCATCCAATCAAAACATCCTCCCTCATAATCAAAGGCTCCTAGATTCATCCCTCAAACCTCCACCTTCAATCCGAGCCGTCCGTTAATAGTGGTTGTCCATTGTATTCACCATCTATTATTAACCATACATGTTTCTTGATTGTTCCCTCTAACTTAAACAGCATGTTCTTCCATGTCCTTCATCTGATAGACAGTCACACCATGTGGAGTGGACCCACATCCTTAAACATTGTTCTGTCAATAGCTGATTGGTCGGTGACGAAGCGCGTGTGACAGAGTATGGTCGGTTTATTATCCTCCACACATGAATAAGAGACGTGTTGCTATAAATTTGATGAGATACCTATCTTTCTTCATATCTCATTTCATATTCTCTCCCATATTCATTCCCTAAGAATTCATATAAAGACATATATCAAGAAATGAAGAGCTTTATTGAAAGAGATTTGATTATTAATCACGAGGACACAGAGTTAAGGTTGGGATTACCTGGAAATAATGATGAACACTCATGCAATATTGGATCTATTGTTAGAAGCAACAAGAGATCTTTTTCACCGGAAACAAGTGTTGAAGAGTCTTCCATTTGCAATGCTTCTAGTCCCTCAACCACATGCGGTGTTCAACAACCTTCAAAGTAAGTGGTGATAATATGATAGGATACTAAAAGTTTTGTTGATTTTCTGGAATCTATAACTAATGAATGAAAAATGATGGATATTGTAGGGTACAAGTAGTTGGATGGCCACCAATTAGATCGTTTAGGAAGAACAGTTTACAACAAAAGAAAGATGAAGAAGGAAGTGGAATGTACGTGAAAGTGAGCATGGCTGGTGCACCTTACTTGAGAAAGATAGATCTCAAACTTTACAAAAACTATTCAGAACTTCTCATAGCTTTGGAAAATTTGTTCAACTGCACATTTGGTAAGAATCATTCAGGTGAACATGCTCCTACGTATGAGGACAAGGATGGTGATTGGATGCTGGTTGGAGACGTTCCATGGAAGTAAGTTATTGATTAAATCAGCTTCTTTCAATTTTTTATTATATGCTCCATGCAGTAAATTAATTAATATTTGCGTATTTGTGTACTTGCAGCATGTTCGTATCCTCGTGCAAGAGGCTAAAGATAGTGAAAAGACCAGAGACAATGGGGTTGGCATGTTTACGGCCATTCAAATTAATTCAAGCTTGCTAGAAACTTCAAAAGTCAATGCTATTTTTTCATGTATGTTAGTGCAAAGTAAAGAAAAACTAAAGAACAAGTGAATGAATGTATTGTATTTGATTAAAAGAACAATGTATTATACAAAGTGCTAAGAGTACCAATCTTTGATTCTTATCATACAGTTCCAATGCATTATACCGTATGCCAGCTTCACTTTAGTTGAATACTATCTTGTATCCAAATCTCTTAACCAGTCTTCATGCCATGTCATATGATTAGAGCAACCGTATACAAGAACCTTTCTTCTGAATTGCATATCTTAATACTAAATACTAAATGTTGTTACCATCAATAAGACAAAATCTTTATTGAAATCTTCATGATGAGTCACATTTTCTTCATCTTGAATCTTTGTTTTTCATTGCCAAACCAATAATCAAATGAATGGTGTCAAAACTATTGGAAATGTAATTTAGTTAATGTTTATAATTCTCAATGCTTATTCTTTATTATGGTCTTTTGACATTTTCAATTTTAGTATAAATATGCTACCTAGGCTATCAATATTGTAACTCATTCATTCCTCTATTTGATATACAATAGTAGTCCTCTTTGTTATCATTCATTGCTCATTCTTCTTCTCCCCTTTCATTACTTTGTACCAACAATTGGTATCTAGAGCTCTTGGTTTTGTTTTCCTGGGAAACACGAGTGTTTGTGAGCTGTGTGTTTGATTTTGGTTCACTGATTTTCTGTTGAAATATTGAACAAAATCTGAATAGAATCTGATTTTGTGGGTTGGGAAACAGTGTGTTTGAAGATCTGAAAAATCCGTGCAAGGTTTAAAATGAGTGGAGACAGTAGTTTGAACACCAAACTTCCAATTTTTAATGGCAAAAACTGGAACAAATGGATGATACAAATGCGTGTGTTGTTTGGTGCACAAGATGTTCTGGATCTGGTTACAGATGGTTATGTACCAGCTGCAGCAGATGCAACTGAAGAACAGAGAACTGCTGAGAGGATAATGAGGAAGAGGGACCAGAAAGCTCTGTTCTATATCCATCAGTGTGTGGATGAAAGTGTGTTCAAGATGATTGTTGATTCAACAACGTCAAAAGGGGTGTGGGGTTTACTGGTGAGATGTTATGGTGGTGACGCATCAGTAAAGAAGGTGAAGCTTCAATCCAAAGTTTCTGAATATATCTCCAGAGTGATTCTGATCACTAACGAGATGAAGGTGTGTGGAGAAACTCTGTTTGAACAGGTAATCATAGAGAAGATTTTGAGGTCGCTTACTCCTCAGTTTGATTACATTGTTGTTTTTATTGAACATTCTAAAAATCTGGAAACTATGAGAATAAAAGAATTGCAAAGCAGCTTAGAAGCACATGAGTTACGCATGTCTGAGAGAACTTCTGAGAGGGAAGTTGAGCAAGCTCTGAAGGCTTCTTTTGTCAAGAAAGACCAGAAGCAGAATAGACGTGGTGATATATTCCAGAAGTCAGAAGCCTCAACTTCTGATGATAAGAATGTCCAGAAGGGAAAAGAGAAGTCTGACAAAAAGAATGTTCAGTGTTACTGTTGTAAGAACTTTGGTCACTATGCCAGAGATTGCTGGTCCAACAAAGAAAGGAAGTCAGGAGAAGTAAATATAGCAAGAGGAGATTCAGATGATGAATATGTGCTATTTATGTCTTATGAATCTGATGAGGAACCAGTGAAATTGTCATTTTCTGATTCTGAAGGGGAAGAAGAATATGACTCTGAATATTCTGATTCTGAAGGAGTTATTTTGTATGAGTCAGAATCAGAATATGACTTTGAGCTAGAATCAGATGACGACTTTGATGTTTTTGAAGATGAGTTAGAATCTGAGGTTTCTGAAGACGAGTTAGAGTCAGAAGATGACTCTGAAGCTGAAGGCAAGTTAGAATCCGAAGGTGATTCTGAGTCTGAAGAAGATGCTGCTTCTGAAGAAGAGTCAGAAGATGATGACTCTGGAAACTCTGAAGGTGAGTCAGATGGTGAATCTGATTCTGATCCAGATTTTGATGATGATCCAGAATTTGGTGGTGATCATGCTTCTAGAAGGGAAAACTCTAAAGACGTAGGTTCTGGAGGACAAGCTTCTAAAGATGATCATGTTTCTGCTAGAAATCATGATTCTGAAAGTGGAACTTCTGAAGGAGGAGCTTCTGAAGGAAATTCAGCCTTTGGCGATGATCATGATTCTAAAAGAGGAACTTCTGAAGGCAGAGGTGATCCAACTTCCGAAGATGGTATTTCTGAAGGTAGTGGCTCTGACTCCGATAGTGATCCAGACTCTAAAGACAGTCAAGGTTATGGAGAAAGTCCAATTGCTGAAGCAAGTGCTTCTGAAGGGAAAAGTTCTGGTGTTCAAATTTCTGAAGATCCAGTTCAGAGGCAACAAAGAGTCAGAAGCATCCCAAGAAGATTTGTAGAGTTTGACATGTTGTTAGACATTGAAGTAAAACCTGAAGGAGAAGTTATTCAGTGTGCAATGTTAGTAGACTCTGAACCCGTAAGTACAAAAGAGGCTCTTAAGCACCAAGTTTGGTTACAGGCCATGAAAGAAGAACTTGATGCTATAGAGAGAAACAAGACTTGGAAGCTGACAGAACTTCCAAAAGGAAAGAAAGCCATCAGCGTCAGATAGGTTTTCAAGCAGAAGCTAAAGCCAGATGGATCAATTGGAAAACACAAAGCGAGATTAGTAGCAAGAGGCTTCCTACAGAAGCCTGGGCTGGATTACTTTGAAGTGTTTGCACCTGTAGGGAGACATGAAATAATCAAACTAGTAATTTCAATAGCTGCTAACAGGAATTGGCCTCTGATGCATTTAGATGTAAAATTTGCAATTCTGAATGGTCCATTACAAGAAGAGGTGTACGTTTTACAACCTCCTGGATTTGAGAAAAAGAATCAGGAAGGGATGGTGTTCAAATTACACAAAGCATTGTATGAATTGAAGAAAGCGTCCAGAGCTTGGAACTTGAAAATTGATTCGTTTTTCAAGGAACAAGGGTTTCAGAAGTGTGAGATGGAGTATGGTGTTTATGTTAAGCACACTTCAGAAGATCTTGGAAAAATGAGTTTCTTTCTAGGGATGGAATTTATATACTCTGAGAAAGAAATTATTTTACATCAGATGAAATATGAACAAGAACTTCTGAAGAGATTTAAGCTGCAGAATTGCAAAGTTGCTATGACACCATCAGAAACCGATCAAAAATTGGACTCTGACTCTGATGGTGATTCTGTTGATTCTACAACCTTCAAACAGTTGGTTGGTTCTCTAAGGTATTTATGTAATACTAGACTTACCATTTGTTATGCAGTTGGATTGGTTAGTAGATTCATAAGTAATCCAAAGTGGTCTCATTTCCAAGCTGCTGTCAGAATTCTGAGATATATCAAGGGAACTCTGAGATATGGAGTGTTGTTTCCTTCTGAAAGAAAGACAATCAGAATTAGTAAGTTATTCTGATTCTGACTGGTGCGGAGACAGAGTGGACAGGAGAAGTATTTCTGGATACTTGTTTAAATTTCTGGGAGGTCCCATTTCTTGGAGTTCCAAGAAACAACTTGTCGTGGCTCTATCAACATGTGAAGTTGAGTATATCGCAGGTGTTGTAGCTGCTTGTCAAGCAGTTTGGCTTCTGAATCTCCTGCATGATCTGAAAGTTGAAGTTGACGAACCTCTGAAGCTGATGATTGATAATAAGTCTGCAATTGATCTTGCCAAGAATCCAGTGCTACATGGAAGAAGCAAGCACATTAAGACGAAGTATCACTTTCTCAGAAGTCAAGTGCAGAAAGGAGTGTTAGAAGTTCTGCACTGTAGCACTCAAAAACAGCTTGCAGATCTTCTGACAAAGGCAGTTAAAACAGATCAATTTCTTCATTTGAGAGATGAAATTGGTGTTGTTAGTTTCTGATAGAATATATAAATTAAGGGATGGTATTGAAAATTTAATTTAGTTAATGTCTACAATTCCCAATGCTTATTCTTTATTAAGGCCTTTTGGCATTTTCAATTTTAATATAAATATTCTACCTAGGCTATCAATATTGTAACTCATTCATTCCTCTATTTGATATACAATAGTAGTCCTCTTTGTTATCATTTATTGCTCATTCTTCTTCTCCCCTTTCATTACCTTGCACTAACAAAAACTTCTTATGGTTGAATCATTGCATTTTTCCTTGTCATAACTCTTCTTTTTACTAGGATTTTTGATGAACCCTCCTCCTCCTCTTGAAGATTAAGGTTTGTCATCACTAATTGTCCATTCTTTGTAGAGCAATTCTCGCATGAAAACACACATAAATCCTTATTCATGGACACATCTAATAAGAAGAGAGAGAAATTTTAATTTATTTAAATTTTAATTTCTATTTTAATTGAATTTATCAGGCGGTTATGATTACCAAAGAGAAAAACAATATTATATTTATTTTTTAATTAATTAAAAATTTGTGATTGCTTGTGTATAAAAGAAATTCTTATGTCTAAGTCTATTTAAATAAATCTCTTCTTTGTAACTTTCTCAACTTCATTTCTTTCAATTATTATTTCTTTCTTCACAAATTCATTCCTTAACTTGAGCCAACAATACATATTCAAAATTCTTTTTACCTTTTCTTTGATTCACTTTAAACTCTCGATTAAGGTGTGTGGGTCATTTCTATTATATATTCAACATTTTCTCTTTTATAATCAATTAGATTGAGTATTACGCGATGCACAGATCATTGATGAATTTTTTAAGTAATATTTAATTATATAAATTTAATTTTGTTTAGTATAAAAAACATTGTAATTGAGCCAATAAAATGAAGAGGATAAAAAAAAAAGAACAATTTTAAATAAATAAAAAATATGTTTGAATTGTAAAAATGATAAAAATGAGGCGACTATTTAATTTAAAAATGTGAAATAAGTGGAAAATTCAATAATTGTTTTATATTTTCTTTAATTTTTTTCTAACATTTTAAAAAATCTG